GTGTGTGTGTGTGTGTGTGTGTGTGTGTGCATCTACATACACACTCTTTGGAAATACATCTAGACATTTCAAATGCAAATGAACACACACACAGATGTTCACTTGTACTAAAACACAGCACACAAATAAAGACAGAATATACTTCTTTAATCACAAAACTATACACCGCATATATTTTACACAACTTACATCTGTGTACTAATTTATACATGGACACAAGCATGTAGCTTCACACACACACACACACACACACTGTACCTGCAAGCATGAATGCAAAAATCTACATCATTCAGATAATCACTCCCTCAACACAAACCCAGACATCCTCAACACATCTGTCCCATACATGACAAAACAGACATATGCATTCACGTTGGGTTCATTCATGCATTCAATAATTCTTAAAGAATAACCAAACCAGTTGCCATGGTGTGGATTCGAACTCATGACAACACCCTGTGCGCCCCACGGAGTTTTCAGATCACCAGATTTTCCTCTAAGATGTCTCTGGATGGGTTCTTTTTAACAATCCCACCCTTAACTCTTTGCACGAACTGTGGGCTCCTCCATACTTACTGAGTGCCCATTATGGGTCAGCCACAAGTCAACTACATGGAACAAACTCAAAAACACAACCCCAACCACACCGCCTGCTATGCCTGGGCCTGCTGCCTGATGATCATCTAAACAGAGAGAAATAAATGAGCTTCCAGGCGGCCCAGGAATCTACTATTCTGCCCTGATCCTCTTGGTCCAGACCAACCTCCCAGGACCCAGTCTGGAACCCGCAAGCCCCCTCCTTCCTACCCTGTACGGCTGTGCTGCGTCCTCCAGGAAGCGCACAGTGTGAGCGCGGTGCTCCGGGCCCTCGCGGCACACTGCACACAACTGCACTTCGTCATCCTCGCAGAAGAAGTACACCTTTTCACCGTGCTCCTGGCAGGCGTCCCCCTCCGCTGAGGCCGGCAGGGACACCAGCTGGAGGTGTTTGATGTTGTCCACGACGCTGGCCAGCTGCCAGTTGGGCCTGAAGCCCCCCGGACGGAAGGGCTCCTTGCAGAGTGGGCAGGTGGGGGCCTCCTCAGTATCCAGGCCTGGGATCTCGCAGTAGCGGGCGAGGCAACTGTGGCAGAAGTTGTGGCCGCAGTCAATGGTGACCGGCTCCCTCAGGGTGCCCTGGCAGATGGGGCAGTTAACCTCATCAGCCAGGCTGGACACAGAGGCGGCAGCTGCCATGTGGGTGCTGCTGTCCTGAGTCAGGCCTCAAAATCCTCAACGTTGCCCCCTCTGCTCGGCTGAGCAAGGAGGGTTGGGAGTGGGGGACAGGATGGAGACCAACTGCACACAGCTCCCTGCACACAAGGCCAGACAGAGGCACATCTCAAATGCGCACTGCCACCTCCAGGACCACGGACACAGTCCTGGCCACCCACAAAGCCACCCGCGTGGGACCAGTTCCAGCTCACATCTCTGACCGCTGCCGTGGGTTGGGCCCTCTCTGAGAATCAACCCCAGAAGACGGAGGACTGGCAGAGGAGGGTGGGGAAGAAGATGGCTTCTTTTACTCTCCGGAGCTGTGCCCGGGGGCTGGTGCCTACTGGCCCCAGTCGCAGGAAAGTGGTGCTATCTCAGCCACCTGCTGCTGAAAGAGATCTTTTTTTTATTGGGGGGGCAATGGAGAGGAGGGTGGCTGGGTCACAGCATAGTGATGCCACCCAGCCTCCTGCAGTGAGACCAGCTGTCCCCAGAGAGATTGGGATATCAGTCAGTTCAGGGCTGTCCTGTCAGCGTGGGTGCTCAGATAAGGTGGTTTTGCCTGAGTGTGAATGGCAAGGTGATGTCAGGGGGGATGCCCCAATGGGTCGACCACCCTCAACCCCTACGTGAGGCTGAAAGGTTCCCTGTGTGAAGGAGGAAGAAAGGTCATAATAGCGTACATCGATGATGATGGTAAACTGCACCATGTACTTTTATCACTTCACATATCCCTCCTTTATATTGCAAGTGCTGTTACAATTTCCATTTCATGAATGAGGAAGCCGAGGCTCAGTGTGACCCAAGGTCACAAAGCAGGAAGGTGGGCGGTCGAGAGAATGGCGTGTCTCTAGAGCAGTACTAGCCCGTAGAAACAGGAGGAGAACAACATATGCTGTTTAGGATGTTCAAGTGGCTGAATTTTTTAAAAGTGAAAAAAGACAGGTGAGATTCATCTTAATAATATGTTTTGCTTAGGCCAGTGTATTTAAAATATTATCGTTTCAACATATCATGTCCATCCGTATAAAAATGATCAAGAGCTATTTTACATTCTTTTTCATTTGTGCTAAATTTTTTAGCAGAGGAGCTCTGGTGGTCTGGTGGGTGGGTTGCATGTTAGACGGGTGACCACAAGGTCAAGTTTGAAACCACCAGTCAACCGATGCAGGGGGGAGACATGAGGCTTTCTACTCCGGTCCAGAGTCACAGTGTTGGAACCACAGGAGCGGTGCTACTCTGCCCTTACAGGGTCGCTGTGTGCCTGGTCTCTGGCAGCTGTTGCTGTCAGAGTGGGAGTACATTCACACCTGTGGCACACCTCACATGGTCCTCACCACCTTTCCCTGACCAGCAAAGTCCCCGAACCTGCTTTTCTGAGCCAGGAGCAGGGAGAGCTGTTGGCTGGGCCGTCATCAAGTCAGTGGCGTGGGGCTTAGCAACATTTAGTGCTGCCTTAGCCCATCTGTGGTTTGACTAAAAGTGAAACCAACGGGGGGGGGGAAGCAAGCCCGGAAAGCAGAGGGGTGTGCCCGCTGCGCAGTCCCAGGCAGCTACAGTCCCTGCACATCAGTCACACCCACGCCAGCTGGACTTTGCCAGAAGTTTATGGCTCCATCCGTTCATTCTGACAGGAAGTGTCCTCTCCCTAGGGCTTCTCACACAGCGATGGTAAAGGGAAGGATTCCGGGAAACCCTTGCACCGTGTGGCCTCACGTCATGTTTGGTCACGCACCCCAAGGACCGGAAGGCACCGTCATAAAGAGACCCTGAAGTCATGCCCGTTGGGCTGCCATTGGAAAACGCTGACTAATTCAAAGTGCCTGGAGTTTGGACCCGCTCGGCTAATGGGTGGTGGCCCAGAAGAGAGAGACTCTGAGAAGGAACAGAAGGGACAAGAGGCGGAGCCAGGTGGCTTCCAGTCCTGACATCCCTGCCTTTCCTCCATTGGTCTCTTATCCCTTGCCTTTGGAGACTCATTTAAAAGCGAGTCCTCTCCAGGGTAAGGACTTGTGTGGACGGAGCCTGCAGTGACCGCCTGGGCCAGACTCGGTGATGCTGTCCACCTCTTCGTTGAAGCCAGTCCGAGAGAGGGCTACTTGCCCTGCGTGCACAGGGCCCCTGAAAGATGCAGTAACTTTGGCCTGCGGACACACCTTCTGCCAGTGCTGCCTCCTGCGGCCCTCCCTGATGGGGGCCTGCCACTCCGCCAGAGTCCTGCTCTGCCCTGTCTGCCAGCAGAAGGAGCGGCCAGAGAGCCCCATGGTCCCTTTGCCCCTAGGCCCTCTGGGGGAGACCTACTGCGAGGAGCATGGTGAGAAGGTCTATTTCTTCTGCGAGAACGATATGGAGTTCCTTTGTGTGCTCTGCAGGGAGGGTCCCTCCCACCAGGCCCACACGGTGGGCTTCCTTGATGAGGCCATACAGCCTTACCGGGTAAGAACCATGGCTTTATCTGGAGTCTATTTGGGGAAAGACAGAGTCCTGACAGGGGGTGCAGGGATCAGGGTGGGAATCTGGATGAAGGGACCCCAAGGCTGTAGGCTAGATGGAGGGGCTTGAAACCGCTAATGCAAAAATCCCTCTTTCCCCTTGTTTTCTTATCGTCCTTAGCTGCAGTCCAGCAGGAGCCCCAAGTGGGCGATCACTAGGTCTTTTTGTTCTGTGGTGGAGCTGCTCCGCCAAGCGTCTCAGCTGTCACTTTTATAAAAGGCAGATCACCAGACATAGCTTCCTCAGAGCTGGGTCAGGGATTCAAACCCCCAACCTTTCCATTAACAGCCGATTTCAGCTTGTTCTGAAGAAAACCCAGTGCACAAAGGAGCCTCTGCAGGATGCTCTTGGTCTCCGGATCCACCTGCTAGACAGGGTCCACCTGAGCCACCCAATTCCTAGGTCCACCTGTGCCACTGGGGGTCAGAGCGAAGTGCAGGATCAGCGGGATGACACGTGCACACTGCTCTTCTTTTACAGAACAAAGTGCAGCGGGATCCGAACAGCATGAGAATTCCCCACCTGCTCTTGGGACATTCTTCACTCCCGCCTGCCTCTCGGGTCTACTATTGCTTGGCGCTTCTCTCTTGAATCTCTAATGTTATGAAGACAAAAGACAAAGCCACAGAGACCCACGGCCACCAAGTTGATTTCAACTCCAGCCAACATCACTTGCTGTAGCATAGAACAGCTCCATCGTTTTTTGTTTTTGTTTTTTAACCTTTCTCCTATGATGTCACTGGGTAGATTCGAACCACCAACCTTTTAGGTTGGTAGGACCAGCCACTGTCATATCCAGCCTCACGCCATCCCTCACCCAGACTTTGCAGAACCTTTAGCATGTTCTCTGTGTCCATTATCCTGTATCCTCTGTCTCCCTTTGCCTTTCCGAGGGCCATCACATGTAATGAGGCAAAAACATAACAAAGAAGACACTGGCATCGAGTTAGTTCTGCCTCACAACACAGAGTACAGCTGCTCCACGAGGCTTATGGGGCTGTAAATCTTCACAGGAGCAGACAGCCTCATCTGTACCCCACAGAATGACTGGTGGGCTTGAACTGTTGGCTTGATGGTTCCTGTAATCCTTTACGCCACCAGAGTTCCATGCTATGAGGCAGATCCTCCTAAAATACAAAGCCAGTTACACCACTCTCCTGTTCCAGAATTCCTCCACAATCCCCAGCGCCCCCAGAAAGCCCAACGTCCTTGGAAGGCATTCAAGGCTGTTTGCAATGGGTCCTGCTTTCTTGTGCAGCCTCATTGTCCCAGCTGCTCTCTCCCCAAGGCAACCACACGCTTGGCCACATGGAGCTGCTCCTTACTTAACTATCAGACCTTTGTCTGTTCCTTGTGCTTTTCACATGTAGGCCTTTCCTCCTAGAATGCTCTTCTTTCCCACTCTTAGTTAGCTTTACATTTATTTCTCATGCCCATTTTACCTGCTCTCTGCTTTCCAAAACCTCTCAGCCCTACAGGCAGCATGGTCACCTCCCCTGTCTCCCACCTTCCTGCTTACATTTGTATTTTCCCCCATGATCACCTATAACTGACTCCTTTCTTGGATGCCGATCTCTTTAGAGATGAAGACTGAGCCTTCCAGCCACCCTCCTCCGAATCCTTCAAAGTATGCCTAGAACTTGGTATCAGAAACCAAATCCATTGCCATCAATTCTGATCTGTAGCTGCCCCGTGTGCTACAGAGTAGACCTACATTGTAGGGTGTTCTTGGTTGTAATTTTCACGCATCACCAGGACCAAGACTTTCTTTGACAGTACCACTGGGTCCACGCAGGAACCTTCTGGAACTTGTGAGCTGGCTTATTAATTCAGCCCCATTTCCCACCTGTTCTTCTGTCCACAGGAACGTCTCCTGAGTCGGTTGAGATCGCTAAGCACACAGAGAGATGAGATTGAGAATGTGAAGTGCCAGGAAGACCAGAAGCTACAAGTGCTTCTGGTAAAAGCCACACTGTTGGCCGCCTTCTTCCTGGGGAATTTTCTTAACAGATTCCAGGGAAATCTACTCTCTGGTATCTGTTGCAGGGCTGGCAAACACCTCCCATCACCTCAGAGCTGGAAGTGGCTCTGCTATCTTCTGATCTAAGATGAGTCTTATCGCCTATTTTTTTACAGGGCAGAAAGTTGGGCTTCGGGGAACTGATGTCAGCGAAACTACCTGGCAAAAAAGCTACCTGATGACAGGGCTAGAACTCGGGTTTCTCAAATCTTAGCCAGTAGCTCTTCTTGGCCCAGCCTGTCTGCAGACATGCCCATCGGTTAGAGCAGTGGTTCTCAACCTTCCTAATGCTGTGAGCCTTTCATACAGTTCCTCATGTTGTGGTGACCCCCCCCCCCCAACCATAAAATTATTTTTGTTGCTACTTCATCACTGTCATTTTGCTACCGTGATGAATTGGGTGACCCCTGTGAAAGGGTCGTTCGACTCCCAAAGGGGTCACGATCCATGGGTTGAGAACCACTGAATTAGAAAGCCGGAGGATAGAAGGCGCGGACTAGTGCCTGGACCCTCGTGGTCACCAGGACAGTGTATTAAAGGTGTGGCTACTTAGGACTCCCCTGCACATCTTTTTTCATGCTACACGTTTATCATGAAGAAGTCCACAGTGAAGACTTTGAACTTTGACTCCTATTGCCTTGAGTAGGGAGTCAGAGTTTGGGGACAGGAAGCTCTCTCCAGCACCCCACTCCTCCAAGGTTAAGAGCACCACTAAGTACCATCTGCTAAACCCTATTGACTCCAACCACAGCTGCCTTTCAGCTGTGTTCCTCTCTGAGAAAAGACAGAACCATCCCAACCTAACCGTCCAGAAGGCATGGCAGGGCTAGGATGGTATCCTAGGTGGAAGAATTTTTGAAAAGCCCATCATGGGTGGTTCTGAGAGCCCAAGTGCCATTATTGTTAAGATCTCTGGGTAAGACAATAGCAGTGACCAATAAGTCATCCTGAGTCCCGTCCACTGCTATCATGATGTTGCGCACGGGAGTAAGTCTTGGAACTATTCACTCACTTGCTCTCCATCTATGCTAAATATGTGGATGATCTGTCTGGAACCCAACCCTATGACCGCCCCACCCCTCCTTGTGGGGGAAAGTGCCAGCCCCCACAATTAACTGCGGGTTCAATAGGCACAATTGTATGGTTAAAATATGTATAAAGATTATAATAAAATCTAGAGAGCATGAGAGATAAAAGAGAGATTGAAATAATGGAGTCAGACACATCTCATGGTAGTATGCTCACCTCAGCCCTGCTTGATGGTCCACGTGGAGAGAAGGGGAGGGGAAGGAGGACAAAGGGAAAGGGAAAAGGGGAGTGAGGATGGGAGAGGAGTTGGGGAACTGACAAGAGGCCAAGAGGGGAGCCTGAGAGAGCTCTTTATTGCTAACCCAGGCCCATATACCTTTGTGGGGAGTGCAAGCCCCCTAATCAGGTAAAGACATATGTCACAGGAAGGGATTGTACTATATGTAATACAGCAATTAGAGAGGGGTGATCTAGGGGTATCCACGTAATAGGAAGGGGAGGTATTGGGGGTATACATGTGACAAGAAGGGCGGATCCTAGATTCAGGATGGCAGCCTCACTTTGGATGTCACTGAGCTGGTTTGACCTGTTCTCTGGATCTCCATAAAAACCGTTATCAGTAGGGTGTAAACCCCACCTACAGGGACCAGACTGATGGTCACAAGCCTTTAAGGAGAGGTAGTCCATTGTCCTTAACAGCAGGGAGTGGGGCCTACCTGTGGTGGGACCAGACAGTAATCTAGTAACTGACTGCCTTCAGGGAGGATGTCTCTAAGCATCTGACTTCCCACCATCTGTTGGCAAATAGCCTCTAATGTCTGACATGTCTTTGAGGGAGACAAAGCTGGGGAAAAGTCTCTTTATAATCCCATGCCCCCTAACTGTGCCTGTCTTTCTGACCCTCACAGTCTCAGATGGTAACCAAGAAGCGTCAGGTGCAGGAGGCTTTTGGGAGGCTCCAACGTGAGCTGGGGATACAGCAGCAACACTTGCTGGCCAGGCTGACGGAGCTGGAGCGGCAGATTGGGAAGGAGAGGGATGAGTACATCCTGAAGGTCTCAGAGGAGGCGGTCCAGCTGGGAGCCCAAGTCAAGGCCCTGGAACAAAAGTGTCAGCAGTCAGCAAGTGAGCTCCTGAAAGTGAGCGACACCCTGTCCCTTGTGGGATGGGGAAGAGAGGGCAGCTGAGATGGCCTCTCATGGGAGGAGACTGTAGGATCTCTAGTTCTGTTGGGCCAGAGAGGCTGGGGGATGTCCCCAAGTCATACTGTGTGACCACAATGCAGGCTTCAGAGGAAGACAGCTTGGGATCTGAGTGTTGGCTCCCTTAAGCTTCATACTTTTGACAAAACTCGTAATGCTTCTAAACATGAAAATAATCATGACTTCTCTCATGGGGTTCTTGCACAGATGATCCGAAAAGACCCGGGTCAAGGGCTAAGTGGGGTCCCTAACACCCAGGGAGAACTCAGTAAGCCATTGAGTGGATCATTTATTTATATTACCCCGCTTCACCTCGGGGCTGGCTGATAACCCAAGCCTGTCCGTGGCCCTTTAACCCGGTGTTAGAACATGCCCAAGGAAAAGGCGGAAACAGAGACACCAACACGAAGGCCCATTTGGATGAAAGGGTTCCAAATTCGTGCAGAAGCATGAGGTGAAGGTTCAATCTAGTCCGTAGGTGATTAGACAGGTAGAATGTTCTGGAGGAGGGAAGCTTGAGCTGGTATCTTAAGAAAGAAAGGTTGTGCAGAATCCCGAGGGGAGGAACCCGTGGGAACTAAGTGCACCTTCTTCTCTTTCTTTTGTAGGATGTCAAAGTCAACCAGAGCAGGTAGGGTCCTCCGGCCTCAGTCCTGCTTCCTTCAATTCCATTGAGATTGAATAGGGACAAACTCACGGCCCCCATACAGGCTGTGCAGGAACAAATGCAGGCCTTCTGATAGCCAGCTGGCTCATTCACTCACACAAACATACCCCAACTCAGGTTTGTGTTCTAAAGTTCATTTTGAAACTCATTGTTTACAGTGCTTGGGGCTCTCATTTCCCACCCATGGACACGAAGTTCTAGGTCCTATTCAATCTAGGAAAGGGTTAATACTAGAGTCAGCGCCTGACATGCTTGAGATGTGAGGGGATGTCTTTTCTATAGATGGTACTACACAAGGCATCGGGAAGAACCAGAAATGCCTCCTTCCATCTCTCCCACTCAATGCCCCCTTTTCCTCCAGGAGCAAGAGCGAGAGGGCTATGCACACCTGTTGCATCCCGGCCTCCCCGGGGTTCACCCTGTGGTGAGAAAAGACACAGTGACCCAGAGAATTTGTCAAATGCAGCAAGCCCATTCCTGTGAGAGGGTCATCAGCAATGTCTCGAACCACACTCCGAAAGAAGCTTAGAGACTTACATCGAGGAGGGCCTTCAAGGCCTTGTAGTTAGTCTAAGGAAGAAATGACCCCTAAAGCATGAATTGCTTGCTGAGGTCACATGATCAGTGGCTTAGGAAGAGCTGAGCAGGGACCAGAGTCGGGCTTTGTTTATTGTGTTCTTTTTCTTTCCACCGCCGCCTCTCCTTTGAAACACAGTAGTATTAAATTAAAAAATTGGCACTGGGGGAGGGGTGAGGGGACCAGCCTCCACCTGCTGCTACTAATACTACTCAACGGGTTCAGTAATGCACAATTGTATGGTTGAGATATATAAGCATTATATTAAAGTCATTGAGAGCATGAGAGATATTACAATAATACAGTCAGACATGTTACAATAATACAGTCAGGCATGTTACATAGTACCATCGCTCACCTCAGCCCAGCTTGGTGGTCCACGTGGAG